TTGTATTCTTGCTCCCAGTTTTACATCCTGCTTTATGGAGAAAACTGTCAATGCTGTAGACAGAGATATGAGGCATAGATACTTTCTGTGTGTCAACGGGGATTTCTGGTTTGTGTCTGCTTGAATGTTTTGTCAGTGTGCTTACACCGACAGGACAGAGGAGAGATAAGAGACCCTGCTTTTGTGGGCTGAAATATTTGAACAAATAAGTGTGGTCACCTGCCAGCTGGTAACACTTCATGTACATGCACTTAGTGTGTGGCAGGCGAGACTGAGTTAGTTTTACCTCCCTGATTTGCCTTGCATTCATTGTAGGCTGAGAAGAGGTACTGTGGATTAGCTGCTGTGTTGTATCTTTTACCTCTGTGGCAGCTTGTGTTTGTGTATGTGCCCTCAGCCAGGAGTGTGGTCCTTACCATTATTTACTATGATGTTTGATGTTAGCATTAGGGATAAAGAGAAAGAAAAGTAATCCTCTGGGCCCTACTTGGGGTGTAGAGATGCCAGCAACTGAAGGGAGGCGGGGGGGAAAGTACTATTTCAAACAGCTGTACAAAGCAGATCCTTTCTAGCTTGCAGCTAGGCACAAGTGCCAAACTGCGCTTGCCACTTAGGAGGATCCTGCTTTAAGTTGGTATCGGTAGCAAAAACTTGTTGGACTTCATTCAGATATTTAAACTGGGAGAATCTACCTTTAAAGCTGCTTCATGAGAGCAGCGTTTCTGCTGGTTGGTTGATGCAAATTGGTGGGTATAAAACTTAGAAACCTTATAAAACATAACTCTGCTCTCTGAGGATGCCCTTGGAGGATTCTTTTCCAATGCTGGGGGTTTACTTGCTGACTAGATGTTATAATGGGCAGACTTCAAAAAAACAGAGCGAAGAAACCCCACACCTACATTAACATTGAACTAAGCAGTGCGGTTTAAAACAGGGTAAGAAAGGCTTCTTCAGAACTGAACTTAGATCTTTTTTAAAAAAACTATGATTATGAAAGTTATTTGTATGAAGTCGATGTATATATAACTAAACTCAGATCCTGCTGCTGCTATCTTGCCTGTGCTTTTAATAATTCAAAGGGCCACATGATACAATCAGATAGTTTCAATGTGAGCTTCTGATTTAAGTAAGAACATTAGAGGATTCGAAGTGCCAGCCAGGCAGTGCAGCAGCTGTTTATTTCCAAATGCTGATTTTCTAAACTGTTACAGCTCTAGGGGCGATGAAGGGAGAAAGCAGATTAACTTCTGAATTTGATACTGAAACTTCACATAAAATTGGCATATGTCAGTAAGGAAATGGTGATGGCAGAAGGATTACTCTGCAGCATCCAGTCATTTTACCGCCTGTAACATTTGAGTATTTACCTAGTTAGTAACAAAACCATTTCAAAAATCTGTATATCTGCAGTCTTCCTTAAACTGATTAGGCAAAAGGATAGATTTGGTTTGGAAATGGCAAAGAAAAGTGGAATGAATGTCATCACCATGTTAATCTACTGAAGCAGTGTCTTGGTGATGTCCTGAACACTGTTACGTACTGTAGTGGGTCAGGCTGTTGTGTGCCTCTTGCTTCAGTATTCAAGTATTTTTTACCATTGGAAATCTTTGTTTCTTAAAACCTGGAGTGGGAACAAAAGAACAGAGAATAAAGAAGTATCTGTCAATTAGCTTCCTCTGTAATTACTTTGATTAGCACAGAAGCACTGTGTGACTGTCGGCATATAAATAAATGAATGGCTGAATTCAATGGCTGAGCTATTCTCTATTCATGAAATATGCCTGTGTAACACTTACTAAATTTTGTTTGGGCATTGTTAATACATTTAAGAATACTGTTAAGCTCTCCTGTGTTTGTTTATGTGGTAGGTGGGATACAGACGGGTAACTGTTTTGAGGACAAGAGTAATTAACTTTGTACATACAGGAGCCTTGTGGGATGATTAAAATAGGAAGACAAGCAAAAGCATGTCTTTTTCTACAGGTGAAATGCAGAGTACTTAAACTATGTCAGCAGAAGGAGGACTTTATTAAATGCAGAAATCTAAGGTTTCCTGATCTGGGAAGTAATGTGTAAGAACACAGGTAGCTGAAAAAAGTATGGATGAGACAGGTACTTAGCATGTACACATGCTAAGTGTACACAATAAGGCAATTTAATGTGTTAAAATACTGAATGGAACCTGCTCTTTGCGGTTGCAGGCAGAGTATTGTCACTTTCTTTCGTATTTGCCTGGGAACTCTGCAGCAGCAATGAGCCGCTCCTGAGGAAATATCTTCATTTTCTAATTACTAAACACATCTAATAGTGTCATCTTTTCGTAGGGTCATTTATATCTTACAAGTAAAGAAATAGTGTTCTGCTGGGTTATCTCCTAAGCTGTATGAGTGTAGAGCCAGAGGAGCACCACTGCCTGTGCGGAGCAGAGGCACCCATCCGGTCTGGTGGATCCATGTAGACAGGCACTTAGGCAAGTGCATCTGGGCAGCTAGAAAAGCATCCAGTTACTCTTTTTAGATCAGAAATATGATTGTGTTTGTTTTGCCTCTGTCCTGCAATTAAAAGCTTGAACTCAAATCTATCTTAATTATTTCCCTTTATTTTGCTGTTAAGGTTGTATAGTTTTGTGAGGGCAAGGCTCCTTGGGGTGCAAAAGAGTACGTTTGCTTTGTTAGCTTCCTCGGAGGCAGTGAATCCAAGTGAATTCCTGTGTGTTTTGTGCCCCTTGGGGCACGTTTCTTTCCCGGGGTGCCTCAAGGGCAGGCAATGCCACTAAACGTTCGGTTTTGGGAAGGAGGTTTTCTGCAAAGAGCAGACAAGTGAAAGATGCCTTGTAGTTCTGAGTAAAGTCATTAAACACTGGTTGCACATGACATTTTGGCTGGGAAAGTAAAATAATACCATGTTGACATAACACGTGCTCTTGTTGACAGATACATTTTGAAATTGAGTGATTAAAAGGATCATCGTACTTTTTATGGTATAATACTAGGGATTGAATCTTGCTCCTATGATATATATAATTTTTATTGGTGATCTGAAGGAAAACCACTTTCACCTTCTTGGTATCCTTTTCTGCTCTTCCTCAATGATTTCTTCCATCAGAGACACAAGTTTCATGTTTCCTCTCATTTTCTAACCTCTTTACTTTCTTCGTGGCCCTGTCTCTTGGAAGGCAGTTTTTGATTTTAGGGTGTTTTTTTTCAGATGGCCACTAAGCAATGTGACATATGTAGATGTAAGTTTCTTGGAAAACATGGATCTTAATACCCTTA